TTTTACAGTCTAGAGTTTATTTAATTAGACTTTGAAAATATCAGGTACCATATTTGATAATAAATTTGGCATAATTTAGCAAATAAATACCGATAATAACTTTAAATTATGATTAAAATGAAACATTTTCTTACTAAGAGTGATACAAGAGACATATAAAATAAATAATATTCTAAGGAAAAAAAAGCTGCCTCTTCTGGGGCTTGAACCCACGCCCCTCAGTTTCTATACAGTTGACTGTAGTTTTAGCCTATTTAAATGCTCTCCAAAGTCGACTTAATGCATTACATGGGCTACACAAAGTCACCTTTGCAAATTACGTTTGAGAAACCAGATCGTTAAGGTGTCCTTCCAGACAATGAAATAAGGACATCTTAGTTATACCGTAGCAATCTTGTAAGTTTAGTCACAACTTTAAGATACGAGAATTTTTCGAGACGGCCACCCCTGGTTGGTTTGTACTGGCCGGTACAAAACCAATGTGCTATGAAAATCAAAGGTGCTATAGACACATTGATTTGACCTAAAATATGCATGTTTAATCTTGTTATTCATGTAAATAACTTAAAATTATATCCACACCTGATGAACGGGCGTTCCCTACTTTAATTTGTTTTTAATATAGGGATATGATATTACATGAATAACAAGATTAAATATATTTTAGGTTAAATCAATGCGACTAAGCAATTTCATTAAAATGATAACATGACCTAAAAATGTTTAACATTTATACCCTGTTTACCTTGCCAAATTAGTTGTCTGTCTAACTGTAACACCTTATTTCAATAGTCATTTTATTGGCAGAAAACTTATTTCCGTTAAAATCTGAAAACATCATTCATTTATTCTAAAATTCATTAGAATATACATTTTGTCAGTTCTTTATTATGCCACCGCAGCATCTGCGATGCGGTGGCATATAGCGATTCACCTGTGTGTGTGTGCGTGTGTGTGTGTGTTTGTTTGTTTGTTTGTGTGTGTGTGTGTTATATAGATTATATAGTGAACTTCAAAAATCTTCTTGTGAAAAACCACTGGTCCAATTTCAACCAAACTTGGCAGGATTGATCCTTGTGTGAAGGGCTTCCAAAGTTGTTCAAAGAATTTCATTCCATGCAGAAATCTGGTTGCCATGGCAACCAAAAGGAATTATAAGAATAAATTTAAAAAATCTTCTTGTAAAGACCCAAAAGGCCTAGAGCTTAGATATTTTGCACCAAAGCATTGTCTGGTAGACATCTACCAAGATTGTTCAAATTATAGCCCTGGGGTCAAAATCGGCCCCGCCCTGGGGGTCATTGATTTTCACTATATGACATATAGTAAAAACGTAAAAATACCCTCTTGTAAAGACCCAAAAGGCCTAGAGCTTTGATATTTTGCATAAGGCATTGTCTGGTAGACCCTTACCAAGATTGTTCAAATGATAGCCCTGGGGTCAAAATCAGCCCCGCCCCGGGGTCATTGGTTTTCACTATATGTACATATTGTAAAAACTTAAAATACCTTCTTGTTAAAGAACCCAAAGGCCTAGAGGTTAGATATTTTTGCATAAGGCATTGTCTGGTAGACTTCTACCCAGATTGTTCAAATTATAGCCCTGGGTCAAAATCGGCCCTGCCCCGGGGGTCATTGGTTTTCCTTAGATGTATAAAGTAAAACTTATAGTAAAAACAATTGACAAATGATAGAGGTTAGATATTTTGCATGAAACATTGTGTAGTGAACCTCTAGCAAGATTGTTCAAATTATAGCCCTGGGTCAAAATCGGCCTCACCCCGGGGGTCATTGATTTTCAATATATACATATAGTAAAAAATCTTATTGTCTGAAGGTACAAGGCTTAGAGCTTTAATATTTGTTAAATGATATAATCTATAGGTACTCTACCAAAGTTGTTCAGATTTTGCCTCTAGTGTCAAAATTAGCCCCGCCCCGGGGCCATAGGTTTTCCTTATATGTATATAGTAAAATTTAAAAATCATCTTCTCTAAATTTATTAAGGCTGGAGTTAAGATATTTTGCATGAAACATTGTGTAGTGAACCTCTAGCAAGATTGTACAAATTATAGCCCTGGGGTCAAAATTGGCTCCACCCCTAGGGGTCATTGATTTTCACTATGTACATATTAGTAAAAAAAATGTCTTGTCTGAAGGTTACTTTAAGGCTTAAGAGATTTTATATTGGTATGTAATATCATGGGTCCTCTACTAAAGTTGTTTTAAGTATGCCCCTAGAGTTAAAATTGCCCTGCCCCAGAGGCGATAGTTTTCCTTATATGTATAAAGTTAAAATGTTGGGTCGTCCGTGGCCGAGTGGTTAAGGTCGTTGACTTCAAACCACTTGCCCCTCACCGCTGTGGGTTCGAATCCCGACAGGGACTTTGGATTCTTTCATGTGAGGAAGCTATCCAGCTAGCTTACGGGACGTTGGTGGTTCTACTCAGGTGCCCCGTTCGTGCCTGAAATAATGCACGGAGGGGCACCTGAGGTCTTCCTCCACCAGTAAAGCTGGAACGTCGCGATATGACCTATACTGTGTTGATGTGACGTAAAACCCAAAACAAACAAAAAAAATAAAGTTAAAACTTGAAAAAATTTCTTCTCTGAATTGACAAAGGCTAGAGGTTAAATATATGGCATGAGACTTTTGCGAAGTGAACTTCTACCAAGATTGTTCAAATTATTAGCCCTTGGGTCAAAATTGGTTCCGACGCCGGGGGTCATTGATTTTCATTATGTACATATAGTAAAAAAAAAAAAGTATTTTGTTTGAAGGTACAAGGCATAGAGCTTTGATGTTTGCTATATAATATCATCTATAGGTCCTCTACCAAAGTTGTTCAAAATTTTTCCCTTGGTGTCAAATTGGCCCTGCCCAGGGGCAGTGATTCTCATTATGAACACATAGTAAAAACAGAAAATAAAACAAATGTTTTCTGAATGGGAGAAAGCTACAGCTTAGATATTTGACTTGAAATGTTGTTTTGGTGGACCTGTATCAAGATTGTTTGAATAAAACCCTTGGGTCAAAATTTTTGCCTTGCCCAAGGGGAAAGTGACCTACTTTCTTATCCTTTGATGTACAGCAATGAAATTGTGCACAGTTTAAGTTGTAAATTGAACTTTGATATCAGGTGATCTAGATTTTTGATTGATGTGACTTACTCTCTTGTCCTTTGATGTACAGCTATGAAATTTGAACCATGTGCACAGATTAAGATGTAAAGTGAACTTTGATATTTAGCTGACTTAGATTTTAACAAAGTGTCTTACTGTGTTGTCCTATTGATATAGTCATGAAATTTAGGCTGTGAGAAATATGACCTTCACCACCAAATTAACAAGACTCAAGTGCATTGATATATTCCTACTCTGATCTTTTGTTGGATTAACAATAGATTCAACCACTAATCTGTTGATAAGGATTAGAAAGGTCAGGGATCTATGCATTATGACAATCTTCAATTGTATAGAAACAAAAATATCCGTTCCTACACTACTATTTAGTGTTGTATTAATGCACACTACTATTTAGTGCTGTATTAATGCGGTGGCATAGCATTTTTCTCAAATGCAATCTTGTTTAAGCTGAAATCCTCAGGTATGGACTATGGATGTTCTAGTGTTTGTTCTTTATACAGATTTGTTATTATATTCAGTATGGTACATTTGTCAATATTGAATTCCATTTGCCAAGTTTTACTACATTCCAAGAGTTTGTTCAGATCTTGTAATATCATCGCTGTTTTGACATTAAAATTGTTGGAGGTCTAAATTATGGCATTTGAAACAAATTCAGGCGCTTTAGTGCCAAAATCACATACTTTGAAACTTTTCTGCACACCCTCATAGTATAAAGAGGAAGGGCACAAAAATCAACATTCAGATAGCCTCAGAATAAATTTCGACAAAGGACGCTTGACAACAAATATACAAAAGACATTATTTAAAATGTAAATTAGTTTCTGTTGATTCAGACTTGCATGATGTTGTAATTACTTAGTATATTTTCTCTGTTACAGATTGTTGGGTCTTTTTGTCCAAATGGAGAAATTAATTTTGGGTGTGATTTGTGTTCTGGCACTTACTTGCCATGAATGTTTCGGTAAGAGTGCTCTACGGGGAATGTTTCCTGATAAATATCCTCCAATGAAACAAAATGGAGTTGATCCTGGGCAGCCAGTCTTCCTGTCACCTTATATTGAGAAAGGACAGTTCCAAGAAGGTAGTTTCTATGAATTAATTTTTATAATTATTTGTATTTCTTATGCACATATTATTTTTATACTATTATAATTTCAATGTTTTTAAAAAATGAAAGGAAGAATTCCTCATGGCTTTAGAATCATGTTATGGCAATGATCATTTAAGATAAACCTGATGTTTACTTATTGAAAGTTTGTATTGAAAGCTATATGTCTCCAGATGAGCCAAAATATTTCAAGAAAATCAAACTTGAAAAAAAGTACTTCGATCCTAAGAAAAGTTAAAAGATTAAAGATTCAAGTAAGTATTTACACATTATGTGCCATTAATGACTGATTTTGCAGCACTTAACACAATATTTCCACTGGGTTAGGGTTATTTGACATATTTTGACATCTTTGGGGTAATTTACATGGATTGTACATAATGTATAAATTACTTTCTTTGTATATACAATATTTGATTTTTTAAATACATTTTTTTAAATTTTCATGAAAATCTGGAGGCATGCTGCTTATTTTTATTTTATTTTGAAAGCCAAACATGTAATACCATGTTAAAGATAATTTGAAACCTTTAATATAGATATTGTACAGTTTTTTTATCCAAAATATAACGGGTTAACAAGTAAGGGTTTATATTAATACAGAGAATAAATTGTATCCGATTTTTTTGTTATATTTTTCAGCGATGGGTGGCAAGTTAAAGTTGGGGCATATTGATGGTTTTTTGATCATTACTAGTTTTTTGCTGGTTTTATAACAACAAATACAACATACAACAGTAACATGTACTTCTGGTTTTTCCCAGCACAGGTAATTTAATTAACTGTGACCATTAGATGTAGATGATAATAACTTCCTGTGTCTCAATTCACTGAGACAATTTAGCCAGCTTGCATATTGAAAGTGGATAAATGAAATCACTGTTCAAGCACCTGTTTCTTTCCATCACTATACCTCTCTTGGTAGACTATACAGTTTAACTTGTACTTTTCTTACACAGATAGGAAGTTTATCCACTTCTTATATTGAAATATATTTAATTTAAGCAATGGAAAGTTTAAAATTCAATTCAGAGCAAATTTGAAATATAAAATACTATCTACTCTTCATTTCAATAAATGAATTTATTTTCTAAATCATCAAGAAATTTCCTTATTAGAAATGTTCTGAACTTTAATTTATACATGTATATGTAATACCCAGAATATTTGTGTTTGTTACATAACTGTTTCATTATTTACATTTTAGAATGAGCCGGAGACAGCACCTGTTGTATTGTGGTTACAGGGAGGACCAGGGGGATCTTCTTTGTTTGGTCTCTTTGTTGAAAAATGGACCATACCTTGTTAACAAGGACATAAAGTGTGAGTATGTTGGCATGTGTTTGCTGTTTAATCAGATCTAGAATCTGGGCTACTTGTACATTTCTTTTTAAGAATATTTTGGTTAAAGGCATGACTTATTTTTCGTGGAACTTTTAATTTTTATATCAATTTGTTATAATGAAAAATAAACTTTTTTTTTTAACCCTAACACTTGTGAAACCAGGCTGGTAAGTATATATAGTACTTTCTTCCAATTCCTTGTCATCTACGGATGTAATGTAAAAAAATTTGTAGACAGAGCATTTATTTTTGCTGAATTTAATCTTTACCATGCTAAATATCTTAAATGAACTTGCCCATATCTTTCAATCTGGACAAAACCATTGATAATTTTTAGGAAACATTTCAAAATATGTACTGACTGAAAAGCAAACAGTGCAGACTATGATTAGATGGCACATCACTGTGGTCTGATCATACGGCACAGATGTACTGGCTGACCTTGGTCTGCACTGGTCCTGTTGCCGCCAGCAGGTTAAGGGTTAAATTACTCCTTACTGCCTGTGTAGTAGAAATATGACAGGTTGAAACCCCTCATGGTATCAACCTAACTTGTTGAAAGTCAGTGGTTCTTCTTTAAGTGTTTAATGGGCCTGAAATACAAGAAAACTGTTCTAAGGTTCACTACCAGTACTTGCCTTAATGAATGAAGTTAGTCACCATCTTATCATAACAATGTGACCTCATACCCAAAGTTAAAATACTAGATATAATAAATTTGTTATTTTGGATATGTTTTGTGTTTAACCTGTAATGTATAATTTTATTTTTCTTTAGTTGTGAAGAAAGATATAACGTGGAACAGCAAATATTCCATGTTGTACATTGACAATCCAGTAGGTACAGGATTTAGTTTTACGGACAAAGATGAGGGATATGCTAGAAATGAGGTTGATGTTGCCAGAGATCTTTACAGGTACTTGATGCATTAACCAATTAGTATAATATACATGTTCTCTTCTTAATTATGGATAAACCATTAGTAGTTCAAGTGATTTTAATATAATGTACAAATAACTTAGAGTTTGGTCTGATTACAGTGAGGTGTGGTCTTGACTGTCTCAATAACACATATTACGGTCTATTCATATTGATGTTATAATGCTCTTTGTATTTTAAAGGCACATTAGGTCTTAGAAACAAATACATTTTACTTTTTTAAAAGGGCAAACATGAATTTTATAATGTTTAAAATAAAATGGTTTTTAGAGAATTGTTAGATGCTTGTTACCAGAAGAAAGTAGCAATCAATTTGTAAAGTAGCAAAATGTAAACAAAGTAGTTATTTGACTTCCATACTAAGTACTAATTTACTATTACTGTACTTACTGCCAAAAGCAACAGATGAAAAAATGGTTCCGGTGAACGGCTAATTAGTAACTTTTTGGTTACTATTAAAGTACATGTGCACCAAAATTAAATAGCTTTTGAGTATTAAAACTAAAAGTATTTCTTAAGCATAATAGGCCTTTAAGGCAAAACTGTTAGACTAGCTTTAATAGTTTTATAAGGAAATATTAGATTTAATTTTTGTATACAATATCATATTTCTATCAATTATAAGCAAAGAAAATCTTTACAAAACTACCCATATTTACATTCTTACTATTTACCATTTCATGCTAAAGTTAATTATCTTGCCATCATAATTATGTTTCCCTTTTCTTAATAGAGGAATTCTTAAGTCACTAAAACGATGTTGGCCAGCAGTGGAGAAATATGAAGTACACGAATTTTTCTAGGGAAATTTTAACTGTATTTTAATGTTGTGGTTGTTACCTCATAGAAATGATACAGTTGGTATTGATTTCAGCATTGAAAACTGTTTTTATATAAGATGACAGCAAATATTATAACAACTTGTGTTAGGACATGTTATTTACACCAACATATGAATTAAAGAATCACATATTCAAACATAAGGAAGATACAAGTTTATAAATGTTAGATGAATTTGAACCTTTAAAATTAATATGATGCTATAGAACACAAGAAATAATGCCCCTTTATAAAGATTGTTTTTCTTTTTTCAGTTGCCTTACACAGTTCTTTCAAGTTTTCAACAAATTACAGAACAATCCATTTTATGTAACAGGGGAGGTAATAATGTTTAAAAACATAATTTCATTGTGATTTATTTAGTTGAATCTTATTTATTTAGTTTGATTGCTACACAAGTTCTTGCAACTTATATAAATCACTTTTTGCTGGAACTATAACCAATGCTGGTGTCATAAGAGGCAACATGGTCGTGACCTTAGTAGGATGATTTATTTCATAGAACATTTTTCATAGGAAAACTATACACAATGTAATGTATCAAGTGTGGGTATTAAGTAATGATTGTGTCTTCTTAGGGAATAGGAATAGCAAGTTAGAAAAATTAAAATGAATATCTGTTCAGATTCTACAAATAAATTTACACTAAGTTCATTTGGGAAAAAATGATTTTTTTTATGCTTACATTCATTACATAATATTTTCCTGTAGTAAAACTGACTAAATGAGGGAATATCCTAATACATGAATATTTTTGATGTCATCATTTATCACAACTGGTACACTACATAATGTTTCACAAGTTAATGAAATGCTATTATGTTTTTATTTTAGACTGATATGTTTTTTATTTGTGATCTCTTATGTTTTTATTTGTAGTCCTATGCTGGGAAATATGTACCTGCAATCAGTTACAAAATTCATACAGAAAATTTAAACCCATTTCCTAAGGTGAAAATCAATCTGCAAGGACTTGCTATTGGGGATGGACTCTGTGATCCAGAAACTGTGAGTACTAAACTATTTAAGACTTGACGAGGAAGAAAATTAAATCAAATTGTTTAAATAACAAATTTTCTAGTGAAATATACTAAAAACATTTGTCAGACAGCTTGTATAATGTGGGTTTTGTAAAGTATTCCTCCTGATTATAGGCTGCTGGTCTGACAATAACATAATAGTACCCACTCAGGTGGTCACTTCACTTTTTAGCTCGACTATTCGATAAGAATAAGTAGAGCTATTGTAGTCACCCGAGCGTCGGCGTCGGCGTTGGTGTCCGCGTCGGCGTAACCACTTAAGTTAAAGTTTTTGTAATGGTTTAAATATTTTCAAAGTCCATTGACATATGGCTTTGAAACTTTGCACACTTGTTCACCATCATTATCCTAATCTATAAACAGGAGGAGGTAACTGTATCAAGCATTTTGACAGAATTATGCCCCTTTTTCGACTTAGAATTTACGTTAAAGTTTTTGTAATAGTTCAAATATTTTCAAAGTCCATTGACATATGGCTTTGAAACTTTGCACACTTGTTCACCATCATGACCCCAACCTGTAGACAGGGGGAGGTAACTGTATCAAGCATTTTGACAGAATTATGCCCCTTTTTCGACTTAGAATTTTCGTTAAAGTTTATGTAATAGTTCAAATATTTTCAAAGTCCATTGACATATGGCTTTGAAACTTTGCACACTTGTTCACCATCATGACCCCAACCTGTTGACAGGAGGAGGTAACTGTATCAAGCATTTTGACAGAATTATGCCCCTTTTTTGACTTAGAATTTTCGTTAAAGTTTTTGTAATAGTTCAAATATTTTCAAAGTCCATTGACATATGGCTTTGAAACTTTGCACACTTGTTCACCATCATAACCCCAACCTGTAAACAGGAGGAGGTAATTGTATCAAGGATTTTTTTTTACTATCAAGCACTAAGAATAGTCGAGCGTTGCTGTCCTACCGACAGCTCTTGTTTGTTGGACCGCTGATGTCATTGCAAATATTTTAGTATTTAAAGGCCCTCTAACCCTTACATAGATAAAAAAGGAACACATTTATGTAAGGTATAATATTGAAAATTAATTGATTTTTATTCTGTTTGTCTTGGCATAGCAAGTGTTGTGTAGGTTACATGATGATGAACTTACATCATATTTTACCATTACCATGGTAACAAAATGTTGAAAAAAAAAGAAAGAGAGAACAGATAATGATTAAAGTTACCAGTGTCTCGTGGCGCATACAACTTACTTGTTGCAAGTGTGTTTTGCCAAGTAATAAAGATATAGGAAACATTTTCCAATTGTCGTAAATAAGAAAATACGTCATATCCAACAGATAATGAAGATGCAAGCCATTTACTCCTTTATACTTTTGAACAACCCTAATAAACATAGTAGAACAAAAATTATATCAGTTGTTATAAATGCCATAAATTAATTTCTAGAATTAATCAAGAGTTCTAGGTTATAAAGAAAGCTCACACTCTGATCAGGGTATTTGATTGGTAAGAACCAGGCACATAATTTGTTTTAACCAATGAAATAAATGAGATCTCAGACAGAACCGAAAAAAGTATATAATCTCAAGGTCAGGTAACATACACACTAATGAACATCATAATGGAATAAATTAAATAATATGATTTCATTGTAATGACAACGTAATAATACTGATAATGAGCATGATAATATGCAAAAACTAAAGTTGTTGAATTAACATAAGGGAATAGTTCCCGTATATAAGGACACAAACCACTCTTGGTGGTGAGCTACCTTTTCACCGACAGGGTTTGTGTGCCTTATAAACGTTACATTTGGTGGCCAGTTTGGGGGGATGTAGACAACTGCCGGACTGGAGTTACTGTACCCAAAGATTACCCAGGCCATGTCTCAGGACGAGTCTTCTCGGAGGGGAAAGTAATGTAACGACGTTGGTAGAACGTCATAATACTGGTAATGAGCATGATAATATGTTAAAACTAAAGTTGTTGAATTAACGTAAGGGAATGCTTCCCATATATAAGGACACAAACAAATCTTGGTGGTGAGCTAGCTTTTCACCGAAAGGGTTTGTGTGCATTAAAACATTACATTATAACTACTGGGAAAAACTCCCAAACCTACTGGCAAGTCTGTGTTAGTAGTAGTATAGATACAGTGACAAGCCTATTTTTTTACAGATGATGTTACAATATGCAGACTTCATGTACAATATTGGAATGTTAGATGAGAAACAAAGAGATTACTTCCAGGGATATGCCAAACAAGCTGTTCAACATATACAGAATAAAGAATTCGGGAAAGCTTTTGGTGTAAGATTATTATTTCAATATTGTTACATAAAATAAATAGTCAAGAAAGTTCCTTGATACTGTTCAATTATTTGACTCAAGTCAACATTGTATTCATTTCATAAAAAGCATTGGCTTGGTAATTGATTTTAAACTGTTTTTGACTTGTTTTCATATATAACATAACCTCAGTTATTAGCTTGACAACAGATCCCCTTTGTGACAGAAAGGTTGCGTTTTAGTGTTGAGGCATCGGAATTCCTGCCACTGTTTTATCCCTGCTAAATAGCAACAGACTATTAAATGGGTTCAAATTACTGGAGTGTATGCATCTCTTAGCTCCAGTTGGTGGGGTGGTTTTGATCCCTGGTGCTACTTTAAGTTTGTAACAGCCGAGGTTAGCCAAATTCATCTTTTCTGTTTTTGGAGCCATATGACCTGGACGCAGCAAGTGTTTATTCCACAGTATAATGTGTGCCAGTTCCAAAATCTGAGGAAGTAAGAAACTATCCTGTTTTTTCAGTATCTGCAATTAAGAGACATATATGAAAACAACAAATTGTTGACAAAGTTTTATAGATTTAAATTTTGTTTTCTCTAAAAAGTTAAATATGTGTATATATGTTATTTTTATTGCAGATCTTTGATATGTTGATATTAGGTGGTCCAGGCAGTTATGTTGGTAATGTAACTCAAGTTGAGGACTACTATAATTTTCTACGTACAAAGGTACACCTTTCGATGGATTTTCTTCATTTTTCAATTTTTGTTTTCAGATATTTGATATGCTTCTCAATGGAGATCTGTACCCCTACAAGCCCTATTTCTACAATGTGACAAAAACAAACAATTACTACAATTTTCTTGAAACTGAGGTAAATTCCGTAAATACCATACTGTATTTATACCCTACTACCAATGCCATACCCTTTTACCTGTTCTAAAAATTTCCTAGAGACATATTTATTCACTTCTTTAAATAAATTACCAAATTTTCTTGGTGCCTTTGAACAAAGGGGGTATAATGAAGTCACTCCACTACATGTAGCTTCTTATTTGGTCAGCTGGTTGCTTATTCTATGAACACATATGAAAGCTTGTTAACACTTCTCCTATACTTAATAATAGATTTTTTTTAATTTATGCTCTCTGTAAGTGTTAGTCTTTAGTTGTAATATATAAATTTGTCCTCTTCATATGAAATTTTGGTGCCTAGACATTGTTTTTGTTTTCATACCCCCGCACAACAAAGTTGTAAGGGGGGTATACTGGTAACAGCTTGTCCGTCCGTCCGTCCAGCTGTCCGAGCCAACATTTGATTATTATGAGCTTCATTCCGTAGTTAAATAAAGAACATAAACTCATAAAATTTAAAATTAAGAGCTATTTTTTGTTTTTATGAGCTTATTTTGCTTATGGACGTTGGTCCTATGGACGTTGGTCCAGGTGGTGTTTATGAGCTCATTTGCCTCATAAACATCAAATTTTGGTACGTCCATCCGGCCGGCCGTCCGTCCGTCGTTTTTTTCTTGTCCGCCCAATAACTTAAGATTCCTTTGACCCTTAGTCTTCATATTTGGCATGGAGGTTAGTCATGATTAGTAGATGACCCCTATTGATTTTGAGGTCACTAGGTCAAAGGTCAAGGTCACAGGGGCCTTGACTTCAAAAAGCTTGTCCGCCCAATAACTTAAGATTCCTTTGACCCTTAGTCTTCATATTTGGCATGGAGGTTAGTCATGATAAGTAGATGACCCCTATTGATTTTGAGGTCACTAGGTCAAAGGTCAAGGTCACAGGGGCCTTGACTTCAAAAAGCTTGTCCGCCAATAACTTAAGATTCCTTTGACCCTTAGTCTTCATATTTGGCATGGAGGTTAGTTCATGATTAGTAGATGACCCCTATTGATTTTGAGGTCACTAGGTCAAAGGTCAAGGTCACAGGGGCCTTGACTTCAAAAAGCTTGTCCGCCCAATAACTTAAGATTCCTTTGACCCTTAGTCTTCATATTTGGCATGGAGGTTAGTCATGATTAGTAGATGACCCCTATTGATTTTGAGGTCACCAGGTCAAAGGTCAAGGTCACAGGGGCCTTGACTTCAAAAAAGCTTGTCCGCCCAATAACTTAAGATTCCTTTGACCCTTAGTCTTCATATTTGGCATGGAGGTTAGTCATGATTAGTAGATGACCCCTATTGATTTTGAGGTCACCAGGTCAAAGGTCAAGGTCACAGGGGCCTTGACTTCAAAAAGCTTGTCCGCCCAATAACTTAAGATTCCTTTGACCTACAGTCGTCATATTTGGCATGGAGGTTAGTCATGATTAGTAGATGACCCCTATTGATTTTGAGGTCACCAGGTCAAAGGTCAAGGTCACAGGGACTTTGACTTCAAAAACTTTGTCCACCCATTAACTTAAGATTCCTTTGACCCACAGTCTTCATATTTGGTATGGATGTTGATCATGACTATAAGGTGACCCCTATTGATTTTGAGGTCACTGGGTCAAAGGTCAAGGTCACAGGGACCTTGACAAAAAAAGCTTTTTTTCTCAATTGCTAAAGAATGTCCTGTCCGCAATGTATTGATTTTGACATTTTCACATTTGAAGCATGTAGAATACATAACTTAGCAATGCACTGGCTTAGTAACCTCAGATTTGGCAGGGAGGTTGTCCTTGAGCTCTAAATGGCCACTGTTGATTCTGACAAAGTGGTATTCGGGGGTATTCACGCCATGATAGTGGCAGTTCTAGTTCAAATTGGCTGGTACGAAACTTGTCAATATAAGCATTCATCTACCACAAGATAGACACAAGGAATCATAATGATAAGTAATAGTGCATAGTACAATAATTAGACTTATCATATTTTTTGTATAAGGAATTTCTTTTTCCAATAACTCGCTCTTTATAATCATTCATACTTATGTCTTGTCTTGGGCAGTACTGTAAAATCATGATTGCCATTTGCATACTTTTGTGTTATTTTACATTGTAAATTTTTGGGTTTAATCTTTTAAGTCAATACTATACAGTATTATACATTTGAGCCGCGTCACGACAAAACCAACATACTGGGTTTGCGACCAGCATGGATCCAGACCAGCCTGCGCATCCGCGCAGTCTGATCAGAATCCCTGCTGTTCGCTTACAAACTCTATAACAAGTAAAGAAACTGACAGACTGCGCGGATGCGCAGGCTGGTCTGGATCCATGCTGGTCGCAAACGCATTATGTTGGTTTTGTCATGACACGGCTCATTTTTTTTGTTTTAACATCATTTGTGAATAACTCAGATCTTCAGATCTTTATTGAAAGAAAAAAGTTTTTTATCTGAAATAAATAATGAAATTATGTAATTATTATATGTATTTATATTGGCTAAATAATGCAAAATTTTATAACAAATAGTACCTGATACTTCAAATAAAAACTGCATGGTAAAATTATTCTATATATTATAAAATCAACTAATATACTTTGAAGAGACTTTGGACAAACTTTTAAAATAGCCCCTTAGTTTAGTAGATTTTACCTTAAGATCATTTCATATTTATGAATCTGCAAAGTATCATATTGATAATTGCTATTTTTAGAAAATCTTTGTAATTAATGTTCCATGTTGGTGATGATTTTTGTAGCTTCCTAGATTTCTAAGATACATTAATCCTTAATGTTTCTTGATTCTGAAGGAATTTAGAATAGTGACACCATTTGAGCCGCGCCATGACAAAACCAACATAGTGCATTTGCGACCAGCATGGATCCAGACCAGCCTGCGCATCCGCGCAGTCTGATCAGGATCCATGCTGTTCGCTTACAAACCCTATTACAAGTAGAGAAACTGATAGCAAATAGCATGGATCCTGATCAGACAGCGCGAATGCGCAGGCTGGTCTGGATCCATGCTGGTCGCAAACCCATTATGTTGGTTTTGTCATGGCGCGGCTCATTTCTATGTATTCTCGTAGTTCAAACTTTGCTACATTGTTGAAAAGGCAGAAAGTAAATATTGATTTTATCATGTTAAAATTTTGTATACAGTAACTTGAAAAGAATGTACATATATTCCCTATTTAAAGTCTGTTTGTGTTAATAACTTTTAGATGTAATTTATTTCTTGAAGTTGGATATCATCAAAACATAGCAAAATATCATTAACAATTAAATAAAAAATAAGTGAATTTGTTCCTGTATTATTTCAGGCGCCAGCAGACTTTGATTATTACGGAACTGCCCTGGCAGAACCAGATATACGTAAAGCGATACATGTAGGAAATTTGACGTATCATCCAGGAAGTGAGGTAGAGAAACATATTATAAATGATATAATGGATACAGTGAAACCATGGGTGAAGGTTCTAATGAATAACTATAGGGTAAGTTTTATAATTAATGTCTCAGTGATACAAAAGGAATTAGAGATGTCAGAAATATAATAAATAAAATCAAGCTGGTCACGTGGGTTCTAACCCTGTCAGGGGCAAGCCGTTGTTTCCTTGAGCAAGAAACTTTACACTCATTGCTAAGTACTGGTTGGTTCCAGGAATGGATTCAAGAGTGTTTCAATAAACTTTAGCTTCCTACACAAACTAAAATAAATTAGTATAAACTAAAATAACACCATGAATTGTAATTATTTTTACTGTATAAGTTTTTATTCCTTTCATCAATTAAGTTAATTAAAAACAAAAACAAAATATATATAATATTGATACTGTTGAAACTAGACCACTATAAAGAATTATCAGTGAATATTTGTTAAGAAGTCATCTACAATAAATAAATACAGTTAAACTATTATATACTGTTCTCATGGACAGTTACTGTATGATAGTTACTGTATTTAAAGTTTATAAGTCCCCTACCGGTTTACCGGAGGGGACTTTAGGTTTACCCATGGTCCGTCTGTCCGTCCGTCCGTCAGTCCGTCCGTCCGCACTACCGAAAAGGGATAGGGGCCATCTAACTGTAAACAGAACAAAAGAGAACAATAGAGTTCATTCCGTAACAATAGAGTAAGGGGCCATTGGCCCTCTATTAAACAATAGAAAATAACAAAAGAAATGGCCCCTTATTCCATTTCGGCCGGACGTCCGTCTGTCTGTCCGTCCACAAAACTGGATCCCGCGATAACGCAAAAAGTACTGAAAATATTTTAATGAAACTGGATATATAGATAGATGGCAGTATGGAGATTATGCACGTCTTTTTATTTTCTTCCTATGTTGAAAATTCTGGTTGCTATGGCAACAAATAGACTGAAAATATGGCAAATTTTACACATAACCTGGATCCCGGGATAACGCAAAAAGTGCTGATAATATTTTTATGAAACTTGATATATGGATAGATGGCACTATGGAGATTATGCACGTCTTTTTCTTTTCTTCTTATGTTGAAAATTCTGGTTGCTATGGCAACAAATAGACTGAAAATATGGCAAATTTAACACATAACCTGGATCCAGTGATAACACAAAAAGTACTGAAAATATGTTTATAAAACTTGACATATGGGTAGATGGCAGTATGGAAATTATGCACATCCTTTTCTTATCTTCCTATGTTGAAAATTCTGGTTGCTATGGCAACAAATAGACTGAATTTTAAGATTTCTGATTCTAGTTTTTAAGTTTTTTCACTATAAGTTCTTTATTTCTTAAGGTATTTTCTTCAAACTTTAAATATAAGTTGCTTGTCATCAACCACATCATATGTGACAAGGTTTACAACTCTAGCACAAAATTTATCAGAATTACCTCCCTTGAACTTAAAATTTTCATGAAAAAAACATTGTTTTTTTTTATATAACTTCTTTTTCTGAATGTATCTACTTCAAACTTCATATAAATGTTTCTTATTATCACTCAACATTTGTGAGTGTTCAATACTCTAGCAAGACTATTTCCAGAATTATGCCCCTTTTGAACTTAGACTTTTTTTTGAGAAATTGGTAATTTTTACTCCAACTTCTTCAATCATGATAGGATTTTAAAAATGTTATATTTTGATAACAGGGATGTTTAAAAAATAACTTTAGAGTGTCCTTCAGTCCGTCTGTCTGTACATAAAAACTGTTTCCTGTGATCACTTTTAAAGAACTTTTTCAACAAATTTACTTAAAATAGGAACATAAGTGAATGGCCAATGGCCCTTCAGAATGTTGCTTGGGCTCTTACCGGTAGGGGACTTATGGATTGCTTGCAATACTATGATAATTGCTTGTTTAATTAAGAATTATCAATTGAATGGTTGAGGAATTCAAAGATTACAAAAGATTTCAGTTTATTAAAACTTGCAACTTCATAATTTCATGGAGCATTTGAAGAAGTGGGGATATTTATTGTTTTGTAATCAGTACATTTACTACATTGTAATTTTTTAATTGGATGGGGAAAGTTTGTAGTTTTTTTCTGGTAACAAAAAGAATCAATAAGACTCAATATCAGAAAATAATACAAGTTGTAAGTAAAAGATACACCATTTTACCATGATCACATGACTGTATGCCTTGATGTTATGAGATATTAGTCATGTGAGGTAGCGTACAATGAAATTGCTTCATGGTATAATTTGTTATCAGTTATTGAAAAGAACACTTTAGGTGTTTTACTTGAGAAATGCTAGAAAGTTATCGGTTTATTCTAATTAATATTTTATTACTCTATTTAGGTAATGATGTACACTGGACAACTAGATATTATTGTAGCTATTCCACTGACAGAGGCTTTCTTATTGACAGTTGATTGGAATGGTTTAGATAAATATAAACAGGCAGATAGAATGGTATGGCGAGTAAACCCGTCAGATGCAGAGGTGGCTGGTTATGTACGCCAGGTGGATACATTTTATCAAGTGAGTGACACAGATATCTTTGATTCTTTACTTAATAGACAGAGGAGATTTGGCAGTATAATCAACTCTCAAGATACCATATCATTTGTTAGTTACTGTAAACTTTAAACAGACTGGACAGATGTGTTAGAATAAGTTTATATCACAAACAGTGTAAAACAAATATGAAATAAATATGTTAAAAGTAAATGAATGGCTGTTACTAGAACAACTTACACTATTTAATTTCAAGCGACATTATAGGGACATGCTATACCCAGTCCTACTATGATTTGTGAGTAGTGCACAGGTGAAAGTCCAAATAACAATTTTTCTTCTTCCATTTATAATTTTAAGTTACCTGCAAATTGACACAAAAAGATACAATTCCTAAACAGAAGCTGTGTGCTGTTGAAAATTAATTAAAACATTTTTTTTTCCAAAATCTCAGATTATTTTTTTCAGTAGCATTTATTTTTTTAATTTCTGCGGGTGAATGAATTGTTTTATGTTTTATTATTACAGGTAATTGTACGTGGAGGAGGACATATACTACCTTATGACCAGCCAGCTAGAAGCTTTGATATGATTGACAGATTTATATCTAACAGAGGCTTTCAATAGATGATTGTTTTAAAGAACTTTCTTTGGAGCTTTGGAGGCAATATACATGTACAGTTTTGACAACAATACTACTAAACAAACATTTATCTGCATCACAAATCACATGTCTGTAGTTATGCATTTCTCACAAACAATCAATAATACCTCTCTAATTGATAGTTATCTATCACAGACCTTAATTTATACATGTATTGTTTTACTATCGAGATATATCTGTCAAAAGTGTAAAAATTTTTCAAAGAGAATAATTTCAATACCAAATATAAAACTATAGGTTACTGTATTTTTTTCAAACAAAACCATTTGAAAATTGCATCCAAAAATTTGGTCGGTCGTGTTTTCTTTTAATCTAACCATTCTAATTCTTCTTGTTACATTTTATGATGAAGCATTGATTTACAAGTACTTTCCACAAACTCTTACATTTGCAACTACTATTTACAATTTTATTGATACCAGTTACAGATAGAATGGATGCACCAAAATATCTGAAACATAAACTTGAAATCTAGCAAATGGCAGTATTTTTACATAGAATATTTGATTTGATTTGAAAGAATGTTTATTCGATCCGTACCAGTTTTAAATCTAACCCTTAAAAACTTAATTCAATCTTATCTATGGTTAAGTTAGTTAGTTTCATTATTTCATTACTTTATTTAAACACTATATAGTTCAGTAATTACATCTGTTATGTATTATTCCATTTCACTTGTATTATATACATGTACATAGAAAAATGATATTTATGGTTCAGTTATTGGAGTTAACTTGTTCATGTTGCATTGAATAATGACAGTATGTGTACTTTGTTTTAACCATAATAGATAGTTTAATTTAAAATTAATGATGTTCAGTTTTTATTTTTGTGTATATATGTTTAACATGGGTGTGCAGAACAATTTGAAAATGTACATAATTTTTGATTGAAGTTATTACTGAAAATACAAAAGTTATTGTAAAATAAGTAACGTGTACAGTGATACAGTTTTATTATAGTTATAAAGATCTTAATATTCATCATCTCCGTGTATAGACTGTATAATGCTGATTAACCAATTTCAATCATTGTTTCTCTGAAGTAATAATGATATTTTTTGAATGTATACATGAAATCAGGGGATTTAAAAGTTTCATTAAATTCAGAATGTACAAAACTTGTCTGCATTGATTCTGTAAATGAACAATATATCACATATATGTATATGAAATGTAAAGATGTAGTATTGTTATCTATACCTCTAATTATCTTGTTATCTATGCCTCTAATTATCTTAATGCTGATGATTGTATACTTCTGCTTTGCTACCTCTTAACTTATTTGTACTTTACAAGAATGTTAGTTTGACTAATTAGATCTATGATAATATTTATGTGATATTCTCACTTATTTTGAACCATGAAATGCCATGTGTTTATATACTGATATAAATTATTATTATAGTCATCATCACTAACTCCGCAACATCACTAATTTCATGGTAATGGTATATTTCCTTGAGACAGGTGTTTAAATTGGTCTAAGTGGGCCGCTTTTAGTCATACACCTAAACAACAAAGTTTTCAGGCATAATATTTTAGATTTGTAAGTGTTGTAGAAAAATGGAACTACAATTGTACAAATTTTATTAGATTCTGGAAAAAATCCTGGATTTCTCAGTAGAATTGTGTGTATATTAAACAATCATAATGATTTTGTTTGAATGTTTAACAAGAACTGCAACATGAATTTTCATGTAACTGGGATATGAAAAAATGAAAGAGTTACACCATTTAACATGAATTAAGTCATGACATGATGTTTTCAAAATGCCTGAAACATGATCTAATACAGTAAGAGCAGGCTTTGTTTTTCTTCTTGTTCCGAAGTTAGTACCAATATCTAAGAGGAGCAACATACACTTGATTAGTGTGGATTGTTTCTCAATTATCAGAAATTTCATAAAAATATCTTTGTTCTTATATCAAGTTGAAGTAAGAAATTGTTCCACATTCAGAACATAATGCATATTCGTACTGTATCTACATTAATGTATCAAACTTATTATTATATCAGAAACAACAATTGCAACAGACTAACTGATCAAGAAACCACAGACTGCCTGATCAACAAACAACCATGTTAATTTTTTTTTAATGAGTTATATCCTTTTAGTCTAAGTATTTTTTTCACTTTGTTTTGTTCTTTTTCCAATTGCTTAAAAAAAGATGCTTATTTTATCATTATTCCCACAGTTTTTTTTACTTAAATTTCTTTGGTGAAACATATAGAAATCATAATTCTGTGAGGAAGTTAAAAAATATTTCATTATTAAAGAGTGTTATGTATTAATATTTATTGTGCGAGATTTTATATTTATACCAACATTTGTTTAGTTAAATTTGGTGAATCATATATATGAAATCAGAATTCTGTCGGGGAAGTTAAAACTATTTCATTATTAAAAAGTGTTATGCAATTATATTTATTGTGCGAGATGTAATTGTTACTTATTATGTTAGAACATTATATGATATTTATCAGTATATACCACATATACACCAGCTAATAAGTCTGATATGAGATTAAAAATAGAATTATATATATCGCCTTTACAAATGTTTATCAGATCTTTCAAATCAACATTTGCATTGCTCGGAATAGGAGATAGCCGTCAAAGAAACACATGTAAAATGCTAACTTTGTTTCTTAATGAACATTAAAGATGCTGAAAACAGTATTAGCTGGACCAATCTGAGAAAGGCAAAGTTATTTATAGATTATTAAGCTATGATGAAATTGTGGAAATAAGTAGTTTAAAATGAGTATGATAAATGTTTATATGATAATAACCGTTGATTTTATGTCTATTCTTACAGAAATAAAACAAACTAAAATCAATCTTCTGCTTGGTTCTTTTGTTTTATTCTTTGGATGGTATTATACAGTTGAGTTTTGAATGACCTTCTGTAAGATATGTATTAACATCACTGCTGTTTGTTTTCAATTCAAAAGGAAAACTATTGACCATGCAGCACAAATGAGTGGATTGGAAAGACAGATCTTTTGACTGAAGATCATATCCTAATCAAGCAGGCTGTTGCTCAACAAACAGTTATTAAGTTCAGTCATTTTTACATATTCATCTTGATTAAGGTTGTTATTTCAAGTAGGTACAAAACGACACTCATCTGTGGGATGAGGGGAGTACATCAATCCAATATATTACACCTCCTTCTCAGACTATCACACCAGTGACTGTTATCAACTTAAATCAAAGGGCTGCAAGCTCTGTGGTATTTTCTGATCTTTGCAATGTATATAAATCGTTCTGTATATCTATAAGCCAACGCTACTTTTAAACTTTGAATGCGTTGTAATTTGTTTGATACAAAAATATTTCTTTCTTTTACATGCTAGTTTTAAGCTGTTTTGAGAACTACTTAATGTTAGGTTTGTTGTGAAGCTTCTATGTCAGAGATTGAATGTCAGCATTGAATTTCCTGATCTGGGAAAATAAAAAACTTGACCACAAAACATAAGTTTTCCAACATCTCTTCTTCACAATAACAAAGACGCAATGACTTTTCCCACCAAGAAATCACATGAATAGCTTAATATCAATCATCCGTGAACCAATCATTTGATTTCTTAGAATACTGACCACACATCCTATCAATGTAAACATAAACTATAATCAGTTAAAACCAAGAGTAATCTCTCTTGAAAAGTATCTGACAAGACTGGCGGATTTGCCTCCCTTTGGAAAATTATCAAATTCAACAGTAATGCAAGAGTTTTGTCCCTTACATCAAATCTTACAAATATGACCCTGTTAAACATGCAAGTGACATTAGTCGTACACCGTTTTTCAGATTGTACAGACAACTTAGTACCGGTAGAGAAAAAGTAGAACATGACAGTGTGACAGTGGGAGAGAAAGAAAGTTATAATCACGACTTCTGTACTGTGGCTACGTCACTTTAGAACACCTTGAAGATGACCGACGTCTGACTGGGAGCTCAGGCGGAGATGTCAATTTAAATTCAAATTTATTGTATGATTAGACCACCACCAATGCATATATTACATAATGCATACAATATTAAAGTTTAGTTTAACCTGGGTGTTGCCACATTTTTAACATAATTCTAACATCCACATTAAAGATGTCAAAGGTAAAGATGCATGAATATTCATGTTCATGTAAAATTAATTTGATAAAAGTTGAAAACAAATTAATATGTATCGAAGATTTATATTCATTTAATTGATTTTATACAGAATAAAAATTATGCTGTTCATTATTGATTTCAACAAATGATATACACCTTTTATTATATGTTTGGAAAAGCGTGATTCACATGTATCTTACAGAATTAAATGAATTATTAATAAGATGAAAACTTCATGTTAATTGTTTAGATGTGTACCCCGACTCCTGAAGGATAACAAGAAAGAGTGTCGTATAGTTTAGATAAAAACTGTTTGCACAGGTTTAAATTTGTCCCTTAAAATAAGCTAAAGTAAATGAAAAAGAACACAGTTTACAATGTTTCTTATTTCAAATGTGAAAACCCTAAAGTCAATTTTTTACAATATACGAAAACAAAAATGGGGCAAATTCCAAAAGGGTGATGATTTAAAGTATTTGGGGGATTGTAAAGTATTTCATAACATTTTATGTGAAAGCTGTCATTATAAATGCTGGTCTAATAGCCCAGTCTAGAGATAGTTCGAATTTGGCAAATAACTTGTACAGGCTGTATATTTATATAAGTATTAAAATGTAAAACATCTGTGCGTTTCTTAATCATCCACTATACAACAACGGCCGTTTTGACGCCTAAGACCAGCGATGTCGAAACGACGATTTTATTTCATATTGTACATGCTTCAGATTCTGTCAAAGTTATTTCGATGTTTTACACGGTCTGTGCACGACCATACTAATAAGTGTGCAGTTAACATTTAAATATTTTTATATATAATTTTAAATATAAATTGAGTTAAATCTTTTATTTACTATTTGATGTTATTCTCACAAATGCCTGACAAATGTTAGATTTACTTGGGCAATTCAGAAGTAAATCTTAATTCTCTATTTCTATATGCAGAATCCGTATTTGCAAGAGTACCGAGTTTCGTATTTTACTTATAAACGGACTTGTTATTAGAATACCGTATTTTAGTAAAATACGGACTTCGTACAACAAAATGCTGACTTCGTACAACAAATTCCCGTGTATTTCGAGTGTACGGACCACCGTATATTAGTCATATATGGACTTGCATAATATACGGTCCCGTATATCTCCGTATTTCAACTTTCCCGTATTTCTACCTGTATATTAATGATAAACGGAATTTCGTTCACCTCCGTATATCCATACATTTGTCGCAGTGTCTCCATTTTGGAACTTTCGTCTGATTCTTGTGAGCCCTAGGCTTTATTCCGCCGGAATGGATATAGAGTTACATTTGCATTTGAAAAGGTAACGACTCCTTTGTATGGTACTAGTTAGACCGTTAGATATAGTCTGGTATTTTGTCGACATTTAAAGGGATACTCAGGGAAATTAATGACAAAAATATTAGAATTATCTTATGTATTCAAATCTCGTCTGAAATGACATTTTTAGAGTCCCAGTATGTATATTTGTAAAAATTCTATATTTTGGGGGAGTTTAAAGCGTAAACATATCTATATATGTTTAACCAAATTTAGACGCCGACTAATCACCCAGTAGTTTTAAAACAAGTCATGAGGCGTGAACAAACCCTTGAAGTTACAATAACAGATATTGCACATATTGTTTAATTGATACAAGTCTTAGTCATTCATTTGACAGGTACTTTTACGTTTCCAGAATTCACTCTGACAACTATTGTGAAAACTTAACGCTCTAACCTGACCCACGTGAGTTATGAAATAACTATTTTATTCTTTATAAGGAAAAAAAATGTTCTCATGGGGTAAAATGAGTGAAAAATTCCAAACGAGGAAATGAAACTTTTGCCTGTGTCACAAAACGTCACAAATACTGTGTAATATCGAAATATCACTCTTTTGATTGAAATCCTTTTAGATACCGCTATATTAAAAAATGAACCACTAGTTCATCTTCATTTTCTTCAGTATCTAGTACAATATCAGAATTGATTGAGAACAGTAGATGCCTTTCAATATTACAGTACAATGTTCAAAGCCTCCTGAACAAGATAGATATCTTAGAAGCTGAGTTTGGTATGTTTGATGTCCTTGCTTTCAGTGAAACGTGGCTTAACTCAAATACTCCTTGCAGTGAAATAGCACTTAACAACTTTCATGCGCCTGAGAGGTAGGATAGAATAGAGAATTCGTATGGTGGTGTAATTGTTTATTTAAAAAATACTTTACACTACACAAGAAGATCTGATCCAATGGTGTTGAGTGTATTTGGATTGAACTGATCCCTTCACATTCCAAACGTATCCTGTTTGCTGTTTTCTATCGACCTCCAAACTCAGACTCCAACTATACTTACTTATTTGAATACTCACTCAGTCAGGCACTTGACACTGGGATATCTGATATAATTGACACAGGAGACTTTAATTTCAATGACTCTAACCCACAAATGGCCCGCAAACTAAATTCTATATGACAGCAGTTTAATCTAGAACAACTAATCTCAGAACCAACACATTTCACCGAATCTTCTAGTTCATTACTGGAGTTATTTCTTGTATCCTGTAGCCAAAGAGTTATTGCTTCAGGAGTTGGAGAGCCGATCGTAGACCAAAATCAGAGATTTCACTGCCCTATATACTCTCTATTCTCTTTCAAGAAACCACAACCAATCATTCCAACGACGTTGTATGGCTTTACGATGAAGGAGACTATGTCCTCTCCGCAAACAACATTAGTACACCGAATGGAATCATTCAAAACAGACTGACACCAATATTCTAAACTTCTTTCATTTACTAACAAACTCCTAGAACTTTCTAAATCATTCATCCCAACGAGGCAAGTAACTGTAAAACCTAACGATGCCTCCGTGGATTACAACAGAAATGAAAGAAACTAATACATAAGCCGCAAAAAGTATTTACCATAGAGCCCAATACTCACAGAACTCGCACCATTTGTACATAAATTCAGACAACTCCGTAATAAAATCGTCAACTTATACGCACGGCTAAACATAACCACTTCTTACAAATGGCAGAGTCTCTCAAGTCAGACTCTACTACACAGACGGACTGGTGGAAACTAATCAAATACTTTATGTCTCCCACAGAAAAACATAGCATTCCTCTACTTAAAAACCCAATCAACGATGAACTTGTTTTTGATTCAAAATTGAAATCTGACCTTTTAAATGACTTTTCTGTAGTCAGTCGTCACTTAATAATTCTGATAAAGAACTTCCTTTTAATGATTGTAATATGCCTATAAACACACTTTGTTCTATTTCTATTACTCCTCAGGATGTTGAAGACGCTCTGCGGTCACTTAAAACAGACAAAGCTCAGGTACTGATGGAGTCAGCAACCGTATATTGCGGGAAACTGCTTCAATTATTAAATTTCCCTTATGTTCGTTGTTCAATCAGTCTCTTCAGACTTGTAAAATACCATTTATATGGAAAAAGGCCAATGTTTGTGCTGTCTTTAAAAAAGGTGATCCATCTGTTCCAAATAACTATCGTCCGATTTCATTGTTGTGATGCGTAGAAAAGGTTTTTGAACGTATTATATTTAAGTATTTAATTTTCTTCAAGATAATAACTTCCTCCCTACCTCTCCAGGTGACTCAACGGTTAACCAGTTAACGTACTTGTACAACACATTCTGTAAAGCTTTAGATGACGGATTAGAAGTTAGAGCTGTGTTCTTTGATATAAGTAAAGCGT